TGTAAACTGTATTCACATCATGCACCATCAAGGACAACAATTCATTCTACCATTCCTTTGAGATCCTTGAGATTCTGCAGTGACAGTCCACCCAAGTGTTGGAATTGTGACTATGTGTACAAGTCCGAGTTATTTTGCTCAAAGTGTAAAGTATTGCAAGAATTGCCACGGAACTTGAATTATTTTGATATCATCGGAATCAAAAGGGATTACAATGTGGTGAATGAGGAAATTCATAAAAAGTATAGAGAGCTGCAAAAAATGCTGCATCCCGATAAGTTTGGTAACAAATCTGAAGTAAGTATTCATTGAATAAAATTAAGACGATCTTCTCTCAGAAGTTTTTTTTAATTTATGATAATTACAATTTTCTTTTCTTATCTGTAAGTGAAACTTATTTTAACTGTCATAGAAAGAAAGGCAAATCTCAGAGAAGTTGTCGTCTCTAATAAATAAGGTTTATAGTACGCTGATGCATCCATTAAAAAGAGGATTGTATATGTTAGAATTAAAAGGTATATCAATACCAGAAGGCACTACCAGTTTGAATCCAGAATTTCTCATTGAGATTATGGAACGTAATGAAGAGATAGAAAATGCAATAGAGGACAAAAATAAAGTCTTAAAGCTGGCCAAAGAATCTAAGGAACTGCTCAATAAAATGTCAAAGTAATCTCCATTTTTCATAGCTTTAAATCTGTATTAAAATCGCACTTTATGTTGTTTTTATTCCTTTTATTTCAGACAAGTGGCAGAGGCGTTCAGTAAAGACGATATTGAAACAGCAACAAAAATTTTAATAAAAATGAAATATTATGATACCATAGATAATAGATTAAAGAAATTAAAGCATGATCTAGGTATAGTAGAATAAATATATCATTTCCTTAGTTGATTTATAAATGTATTGTGTTTACAAATAAACTTTTTTTACATGAAAAATTGTAATTTTTTTGTTAGCTATATAAAATGTAAAATAATATTTTTCTGTTGTATCATATGTATACTATACTTATGTGTCTGTACATGTGTTTATACAAGTGTGTGTGTGTGTACACACACACACACACATACATATATGAGTGCTTATGTGTTTGTTATATA